GACACTGTTAAATTCAAAATGAGTTTTTAAGTGACACTGTTAGATTTAAAATAAGCAATAAGTTGGTCCTTTCTGCAATGTGGTAAAAGTGAAACAGTCAAGAAAGATCTAGGGGCTGGGGTTGTGGCTTAGCGGTAGAGTGCGCTCCTGATGCAGGCGGGGCCCTGGGTTCGATCCTCAGCAACACATAAAAATAAAGGTATTTTGTCCAACTACATTATTTTTTTTTTAGAAAATAAATATTTTTTTAGAAAAGAAAGATCTAAAACTTGTTTACATTTTTTAGCAAACATAGCTATATATTTTTCAGCTGTGCTGTCACCCACCAAGACTCCTATTTCCCATAAAGGTTCAAATAAAGGACTTAGAATCCAATAATTCTCATAAAAGAATGTTTGCAACCAAGTCCCCAATTGTGTAACAGAAATTTTCTAAAATGTACTCACTGCAGAATTCAACCAATTTTATTAGAGAATTAGCAGAGCACTGAATGTAAGGCTCCTCCTACTTTTCTTAAGGGGTTGGCTAACTATAATCCCCAGGCCAAATCTGGCCTACTACCTGGTTTCATAAATAAAGTTTTATTGGAACACAAGTGCACTCACTGGCATACATAATATCTGTAGTGGCTGTCCTACTACAACAGCAGGGGTAAGTTTATTGCAACAGAAACTATATGGCTACAAAGTATTATCTAGCTTTGTACAGAAAAAATTTGCTGACTTCCATTCTAAAAATCTTTCAGGTGAACCTTAACTTTCACAGTATGTCTCTCAAATGTCCCTAACACACGAGTGACTACAAGAATGTTGCTTATCTTGTCTGGACTTTTCTTGTAATCTGTAAGAAGGGAGAGTTGTCATTTCCAATACAGACATTCATTATCATTGTGATTCTCAGCCAATAAGCAGTTTCCTAAGTGTGGTTTGATACTTCAGAATATCTTAAACAGCTGTACTTTTTTCTTTTTCCTTGTATTTTATTTATTTATTTTTTGGTACTGGGGATTGGACCCAGGGGTGCTCTACTACTGATCTGCATCCCTAGTACCCCCCCACCCCAACACACATACTTTTTATTTTGAGACAGGGTCTCACTAAGTTTCCCAGGCTGGCCCTGACACTTGCAATCCTCCTGCTTCAGCCTCCTGAGTAGCTGAGATTACGAGCCTGTGCTGCCACATCTGGTTAGGAAACAAGTGACACATTGGCAGGGCCCTGTAGGAAACTCAGTGCCAAGCCCCCTCTTCCTCCTGATTGGCTTAACTTCCTGTGCTTTGCTTCTGTGAGGCTGGGCAGGCAAGAACTAAGCTTCCTTAGAATACATCACTATTAGCCAGTGTTCCGAGTATTTGGAACTACAAAAGCCCAAAGAATGGCATCATAACTGCATTCACAGAGGAGAAGGGACTTAGACAAGTCTTCTTGGAGGAAATGATGCCTGATCTGAGTCTCAAAGGATGAAGAGGAATTTGGTTAATTCTTCTTCATCTCAAAGGATGAAGAAGAATTAACCAATAAAGCAACAATGCATCCTATTATAGCCATCATTTTATTTGTTTAATCAGGAAAATATTTCAGCATCTAAACCCCAGAAAGCTCTCTCTGAATTCAAACAGATTCTAATGTGTGTGTTTCACACTGCCAAGCACCTTTTCCCAACAGTTTCCTTTTTTTTTCTTTCTTTTTAAAATATTTTTTCAACAAATTATCAAATTCACATCCAAATCTTTAAAAAGACATCAGCTACCACAGGCATACACATTGTGTGATGGCCAAGGCATATGACACCAAGACTTCTTTGAGAAGTGAAGATCACTGGACAAAGAGCCATCCAGGGCTGTAGCAGAGGTCAGCAAGAGGTGAGATAACTCTGACTTCAAGCGACTTGGCAGTGGGATTAGGCAACATGCTTAGGCAGCAGCCATATTCATCTGGCTAAACAATCCAAAAATCTACAACAATAGATTCTGAAGGGAAGAGAGTGATTTGAGTTGACCTAGGCATGCAATCTCAGCAGGACTGATTCCTACATAATTGCAAGTACTCTCATAATCCTGTCTGTACTATTTTTGCAAGTAGAGTTCATTTATGCATTCAATAAATTTTAGTGAGTACGAACTATGTAGAACCATGTTTCTGTTCACTGGAAAAACAGCCATAAAAAATTAGACAAAAATCCTTGCCCTTATGGAAGAACTTAGATGCTCGTGTGTTATCCTTGTGCTGAGAAAGTACAATGAATTTTAACTTCCATCCCATAAGACTGTACTGAACAGTTCCCAAGGAATGTTTTGCCAAAGAGCCTCAACCAAACCTGAGCCATTCATCCCTCTATCTTACCCTCTGTGTCACAGCAGTGAATAGGACAGAGTAAAGCCAGGATAGCCTAATGCTTCTTCCTTAACATGCCCTTATCATCAAGCCAAATGACTCCTGAAGCTGCAAAGCAGATGTGTATCAAGACCCTAAAGAATGTTCACAGCTTTTGAATCACTCCTATGTGTGTGTGTGTGTGCGCGCGCGCGCACACGCGCGCGCACCACACACAGAGGAGGAACTAAACCCAGGGCCTCATGTATGCCAAGCACTCTACAACTGAGTTATACTCCCAATCCCATTTCTAGAAATCTTAACCATGAAAATTGACTTAAATTCTGAAAACAATTTACATGCAAAAATGCACATCACAGTTTCATTTAACCTATACACACACATACACACACACACACACACAATTAAGTGTATAGCTACAAATGAATAGATCAATTATTTTTTACACGAGAAGAAATAACAAGCATCCATTAAAATGGTGTCTACAAAGATTCTAGGTAATGTGGGAAAAGTTTTATAAAATGTTAGGAAGTCAAGCAGAACAAAAAATCTACTGACAAAGATAAAACATTATGGAAATATTCCAAAACATTAATAATTAATATATTTAGATGTAAAAATTAAGAATATTTTCTTTGTGAATTTTTCACATTATTTTTATAAGTAAATGATGCAGTTTTTTAAGCAAACATGAAGTAGCAAGAACAAGTGTAAAGCAGCCTATCACTGCAGCTAAGAACCTGAGATCTGGATCCAAATTGCCTGGGCCTGAACTCTGATTCCTCAAGTTATTGTGTGACCTTGGGCAAGTTACTGGATCTTTTCATGCCCAGTTTCCCATATGCAAAATGGAGGTGATAATAGTGCCTACCTAACAACCTGGCATGACAACTAGTAGGTAATTCATGTAGGGTCCTGGCAATAAAGTGTTATTACCAGTAAGTATTCAAAATGATAATTCTTCCAATATTCCAGGGGGCTCAAAGGAAAAATTTAAACAAAGGGAAAAGTTGGCAAACATCCTATTCTGATGTCTTAGGGGCAAGTAATTCAGAGTTGTGCTTCCACTGGGCAATTTTCCCTCACAGAATCAATCCCAAATCTGTTACTCATATTTTAAATTTTCCCCTGAAGATGAACAGTATGTACACATTTATTTTATGGGTAATTACTTCCTTGGTTTCCTTTTATGCTCTCATCATAACTTACTGTGCAAAGTGCCTTTTGGTTTTAAAAATAAATCTAAAAATTCTGTTCATAGGATTGTCAAAAAACACTAATCGTTAATATGAAATGACCTCATGAACCTATCAGACAACAGCAATTAATCCGAAGATGAAAATAACTGTCAATACAGTCATATTTTCTGCCAAATGTCTATTTCAAAATCAGTGAAACCAGCAGCTGATTGCTTGGGTCCTACATCCAATATCCTTCTTTCTGTGAAAATTAAACCATTTAAATTTAGGTAAAATAAAGTCATTGATAACTAGCCCAGAATCTTGTTCACAAGAGCCACTATTTATCATTGTAATCTAAATTTCCTTCAACTTTTGACCCTATGAATTCTCTACTTAAAATAAGGCAGTGCTTCTATTCAGGTCTTGGTTTGGTCTGGCAACCTTTTTCTTCCCATGGACTCTCTTCTTCCTCTGCATGAAATATCTACCTACTTTACATAGCTCAAACTAAGAGATTCACAGGCTTAGATGTGAATCTTGCTGAGAACTAGGTATATCATCTTCATCAGTCACATAACCTCAGTCTGTCTGTAAAGTGGGCATAACAAAGACACATCTCGCACAGTTACTATGGGGCTAAACTAGACAACAGACACTAAAGAACTGGGCATGGTAGACAATTTAGTAATGAGTTCTTCTATTCATTGTCTTTGTTGGGGTTCCAGTCATTCTTAAAATCCTGATATCTCTGGTATCCTTCCTGTTTTTCCTTCCCAGACCAGAAAGGCCAAGTACTACTGAACTCAGAATATTCTGTTTCATCAAAAGAACATTTGTTAAGTCCCTGGGGACTTGGAAAGGTAGATGCATTAATTAAAAGTAATTTGTGTCCCTTTTGGGTGGAGCCTAAGAGGTGGGGCTGGTGGGGGGAGGGTGGCTTCAGTCAGTGGTAACCCATGATATTCTCTTCCCCGTGAGGTCCTTATCTGGGCTCAGCCCCCATGCCGCCTCACACCTTCAAAGACTAATTAAAACATCTGAGCTGAGGTTCCTTCAAAGGGTACCAACCCCAAAGACTCTCCCAAGATCCCCAGCCAATCTGGCCCCACCTTCAGTGGAAAGGTTCAACAACAGAAGGGACGCGGCAAAGTGGACGCGGACCTCGCGCCTTTGGAGACAGAACAGTGCGGGACAATAGCTCTGCCCAGCCAGAGCTTTACAGCGCGCCTCCCGCCAGGCCGGACCGCCTTCTCCTGTGCAGCTAGACGGTTTGGAGCTGCTGAGAGGGGCGCAGGACCCTGGCCGCTTCCCACCTCCCCGGCGTCGGCCCAGAGCTCCGAGCGCTGCCAGGTGCACCAGTGAGCCCCCCTCCGCGCTCTTGGCAGCGGTCCCCGCCGCCCCCTCGACGTTCCTCCGTGCGCTCCGCGCGCGGCGCTCCGGGGCCAGGCTGGGTGCAGCCCTCCGCTCCCGCAGGGGGAAACGCTACCTGTGAAAGTAATGTGCGCAGAAGAGACCCAGAAGCAAAGTCCCTGGCGGTCCGAAGAGAGAGCGGGGCTGCCAGGCGAGGATCCCTGCGGACACCACAAAGGCGGGCAGCTCCTGCAGGAACCAGGCGGTGCGGGCGGGCAGGCAGGAGGTACCCCAGGGCGCCGGGATCTCCATGTGCTTCCCGTAGCTGAAGGGCTTGGTGAGGTACAGCATCAGTGCCCCCAGGGTGGCCATGGTGGCGCTACCTGCCAGCACCGGGCTCTGCTGGCACCGAACCGGCATTGCGCGTGTTCACTGCCTGTGACTGCCGCCCCTCGCAGAGAAGAGCGCGGCCCCCACGGCCCCTTTATGAAGCCGGAGACGCCACCCGGTGTCCGCCCCTTTGGCCTGGGCTCTCTGTCGTGCCTCCCACCTCGGCGCGGCCGGCCCTGCCTCGACTCAGCAGCGATGCCCCTTTCTCAGGACTGACTCTTTCGGCTGCAGACACCGCAGAGAGGACAACTAAGGCTTTCGTGGAGCCAAAAATTGTCCTGGGGTCCCTGCCCCGCCCACGCGCCTGCCCTCTCTACCGCTTTGCACTCGTCTCCCCTTAGGCTGCCCTTCGATGACTTGCTCCTCGCCCATCCACCTCTGTTGCCGTAACTTCTGGGTCTAAGCAATAAGGAAGAGAAAAACACTGAGACAATTTGGCCAGGTAGTTCTCGCTCCCCAGACACATCTGTGCCCTCCTCGCCACGCAGCCCCTGCCCTCGAACCCCCAAGCCAGGATCTCCCCAACTCCTCGCGGTTCCTGCTCTCACTCCCACAGTTCCCTCTCCACCCAGGATCCTTCCTTCACCCCTGGACTCCGCATCCCGGCGCTGGGACCGTCCCCCGTCCGCTCTGCTATTGGCTGTCTGCCCTGCTCCTTTGCCACTCTTAGCGTCAATGTCAGCTCAGTCCTCAGCAGGACTCCCAGGCAGGTCCCAGCCTCTCCCTGCCCCAAACTCCCCCGCGGTTTTTCTTTGTATCTGCACGTGTGTCCGGAGCAGCCCACTTCAGTGAGAGCCGTGTTCCCTGAGCGCAGGTGTGGAGGCACGAATTTGGGCCAGCAGTGTCCTCCTGCCCTGAAGTTGGCACAGACTCGGGCTAAAGTCTAGGGCTTCTCCCGCGGGACTCCCACTCCCAGCTCTGGAGTGGGTGTGTCAGGTTTCCTATGATGGTGAACTTGGAGATGCCACTGACCTCCGAACATCTGTCCAGCCTTCGTGCACTGGTCCCGTGCTTTCTCTCTTCCATTTCCCATCCTTCTCAATCTCCGTGTCCTCGTTTTACCTCGTTTTACCTCTTGCCGTCCCTGATCCAGCGTCCAGCTTTTCCTGACTGCCTCCTCCTTTGCCTTGTGCCCCCACTCCTTTTCTTCCCACCCTCTTCCTTCCTTCTTATTCTGACCTGGGTTTCTCCTTCTAGGTTGACCTGCTTTCTTTGCCTGCTGTTTGCTCGCCTTCCTTGATTACTTTATCCCTATTTTCCCCTCTGGGCCCTGCTCAACCCCAGGACCTCCCCCTTTCTCTTTCTCTTCCTTTGCAGCTTTCTTCACCATTCCCCCTTAGCTCCACTCAACACCTGCAGAAGGTCCTCTCTATATTTCCCCATCCACTCCAGCCACGCCTACCAGCTGGTGCAGGAAAAGGCACAGTCCCTCATCCTCTATGGTTTCGGATGTTTTCTGACTCTTGGGACACTGTGGCATATGGTGATGCTTTAGTGCCTCAGGGCATCGTTGACTAATGACCAAGAGGTATTTATCTTCTCCCTGTTTGGTTAAAACTTAAACAGTACACCTGCTGCAATTCTTAATTGATCACCACTTAGGAATCACTCAGACTGACTGAGGCACTTTCTATGGAATAACCAGAAATATAGTGGTTACATCTGCTTCCAGCTGGGTTTGCGCTGGCTTGACTGTTCAGTCCAGTCCTAGCTTCCTCAGTTACTACCAGCTTGTTGAAGATGCCCAAAACTAGATCACCAGCAAAGGCCTAAGCTTTATATTTGCATTTTCTCCCTGCTAGAAAACCCAATTTGGATGCCCTTCAAAGACATCAAATTCAACCTCCCCCAAACTGAACCCCATTTATCTTTCCCTCCACTACCCATACCCAAATCTGCCCTCTGTGTTCCTCATTGTTACCACTTCTCTGTCCTCAATAGCTATAGCCTCCCTGGAGGACCAGTTTGTTGAGTCAGGGAGCTATAAGTTTCATGATGTCATACAGCAATAGAACAAGCAGTATGACATTTCAAACCAAGCTCAATGGAATAACGTTTTTAAATGAAATTTCTCCTGCCTTAATTTCTTTCTTTTTTTTTTCATTTTTTGGCCCAATTTTGGTCTTCCTTATTCTTTTTCACTAGTATAACAGTTTTTGTTGTTATACCTAAAAGTTTTTGCTCTTTTCCTAAAAATCAGTAGTTTAATAAAAAATCAATCATCTTCAGTGTAGACATCTGTGGATTGGCCAGGAGTCAACACTCGTCTAGGCTGGGCTTTGCTGATCTTGAATGTGCTTGTTTATTCTTCTGTGAAGCATCTTAGAGCCCAGCTTGAGGCAAGATTTTGATCTGGAGCTTTAGCTGAGGCTCTGCTCCTGGAATTAGTGAGCTTGCCCCACCATTCTATGTAAGTAATAAAGACTCAAGAGCACAAAAAAAAAAAAAAAAAAAAACCACACAAGCCCCCTTGGGACTCTGACCAGGAACTAGTAAATGCTTACTTCCTCTTCATTCTATAGATCAAATCAAGTCACCTGATGGACTTGGTTCCAGAGCCACAGTGGTTAAGTATTGCTTAGTTACATAGCAAAGGGCAAAAATATAGGCAGAGAATTGGAGTCAGTAATGCAACTCTTCTGTATTACATTTATTTTTAAAGTGCCCACATGTTAAATTTGCAGCTTGATGGACATGCACAAAGTGAACAAACTTTCACAACCTGCACCTAGGCCAAGAGGCAGATTACCATACCCAGAGCTCCCCTTATAATCTCCTTGCATCTTTTTCCCAGAATAACCACTACCATGACTTCTAATACCATAAATTAGTTTTGTCTGCTTCTGAACTTCATACAAATGGAGTCATGCAGTATTTACTCCTTGTGCATGTTTTAATGGTACTTAGAATTTGTTTTAATCAAACAGAGTAAACATGCACAGAAATTATTTTTAGGAAGGAAAAAGTTGACATTTACAAATCACTGATAGGGAGAGACACAGTACACCATACAAGACTAGCAGGAAACACTAAGGGTCAGGGTCAGCAGGACTGTGAGAGACATGGATGAGGCAGAATATGCAGGTTTAGAAATGGCTACTTTGAATGCTTCCAGTGGCTCTGGGGCATAGGGGCTGCCTCTGGTTGTCTGTCTGACCCTGGGCTGATTGAGGCAAGGATATGTGGCTCAGAGTTTGAGAACCTAATAAAAAATATTGTTTGGTCTACATATGAAAGATACACAGATAGTCATTTACATCTCTGGGAATTAGCTAGCCCTGCAAGGGGCAATCCCTCCAGTATCAGCAAGGCATGATTAATACTGTGGGTACAATACTGTGGGTGTGCATGTATGTACATGCATGTGTGTGATCCATTCATATAGTTGCATATAGTTGTAGTTTGTTCTCAATATTGTATAGCATTCCCTATGTGAGTGTACTACAGTTTATTTACTTTTGATGTCTGTATTTGTGCACTCAGGCTGCAATAACAAAATACCATAGACTGGATAGTTTAAATAACAGAAATTTATTTTCTTACATTTCTGGAGGCTAGAAGTCCAAGATTAAGGTTTAACCAATTCAGTTTCTGAGGAAAGCTCTCTTCCTCGCTTGCATAGAGCTATTTCTTGCTATGCCTTCAAATGGTCTTTCCTCAGTGCATTCATGAAGTTTGAGAGAGAGAGAGAAAGAGAAAGAGAAAGAGAGAGAGAGAAGAAGAAGAAGAAGAAGAAGAAGAAGAAGAAGAAGAAGAAGAAGAAGAAGAAGAAGAGGGGGAGGGGGAGGGGAGGGGGAGGGGAGGGGGAGAGGAGAGACACTTTTGTGACTCTTCCTAAGGTCACTAATTCTGTCAGACCCAGGTTGCACCTTTATGAACTCATTTAACCTTAACTATTTCCTAGAGGCCCCGTTTCCAATTACAGTCACACTTAGAGGTTAAGACCTCAAAATGTTAAATTGGGGAGACACAAACATTCAGTCTGTAAGAATAAGCATTTGAACAGTAAAATTTTGACATATTTATAGAGATTATTGTTCCCTCAACCTCAGTCTTCTCTCAATTTAGCTTCTCCTCATTACCATAGCAACCCCTGCAATACAATAAGCAGTAGGCTATTAGAAGAGATGAGTAAAATGGAGCAGAGAAAAACAACACTCTTTAAAGGAAGACAATTAAATCCAGACAAATAACAATGTAGCTGATATGGTTTGGATCTAGAACTATTCCCCCAAAAATTCATGTGTTGGAATATTCAGATGACTATATTATGAGTGCTGCAACCTCATCTGTGAATTAATCCACTTGATGGATTAATAATTTGAATGGACTACTGAGTGGTAACTAAAGGGAGGTGAGACATGGCTGGAGGAAGTAGGTTACTGGGGGCGTGCCCTTGGATTATATCTTATTCCTGGATTCTCACACTCTATCTTGCTCTGCTTCCTGTCGCCAACAGCTGAGCAGCATTCCTTTACCATGCCCTTGCACCATGACGCTCTGCCTGATGGAGTCAGCTACCCATGGACTGAACTTTTGAAACCATGGGCCCAAAGTAAACTTTTCATCCTCTAAGTTTTCCCTTCATGTATTTTGGTCACTGTGACAAAAACCTGATAAACACAGTAACATTCACAATATCCAGTAACCCTCAAATTACTAGGCATGTTGCATTGACTTCTGATGCCAAATATACTTTTCCTCTAAAATTGTTCTGGTCAGGTCTTTTAGACACAGCAGTGAAAAAGTGGACTAAAACACTCTGTATCATTAGTATGCATGAATACAAAATAAATAAAGGTAGAAACTTAAGGTAAAAAACATTCTTTGATGCATGAAATTGCTAAGAGAAAAATAGGAGAGCTCAATAGAGATAATAGAAACAATTTTTAAAAATATAAAACATCTAGAACCCAAAACTGCAGTTTCTAAAATTAAATATTAGGAATTACACATAACTGCTGAACAAAGACAATGGAAAGTACATTGAACTTGAAGATGATTGTTAGAAAAAAGATGAAAAACTTAGC